TAAAGTTCTAAGACTTTGTTGCCATTGCTCTGAATTCACTTCAAGATTCCCTTGTATATTATAGTTTCTGTTGTGTCCTAAATTTAGTAGTTTTTTACTTCCTTAATTTCATCAACAAAATCACAAACATATACAAAAATATTAACCGAATATGAAAGATACCTGATTTAAAAGCTTTAGTGGTAGATCAATGGTACACTAAAAAAAAATTAGTGATACATGGCCATATTTATAATTATAATAATTACGTGGTTATTCGTAGAGGAGTAAAATTCTATTATTAATTGGATATTCATGTTAATTATAATATGTGGTGTGACGTGTGTTGTTATAAGTAAAATTCTATTGTCAATAAAAAGATTAATTTTTTTCAAAATAATTATAAATTATTTTATGTATACCTTTTTTTTTTATCCTAAACATATCTATCCAATCTAATCTAACATGACATCTAATCTAATCACAATTAATATCTATTTGTCGCCTACGTGGCTCAACACTTGTCTTGTGGGCTGGCTGCGAGACCAGTTTTATTTAGTAGTGAAGAAATATGATATGATATGATAGTTTCTTATCCGGGCGATGCCCAGGTTGATAAAATTTTTAGATAATATATATTTTTATGTTAAATACGGTCAAATAATTCGTTCTGATAATGTAGGATATTTAAACATACGATAACATATGACTTATATTTATAATATAATGTACTTTTATGTTTATTATTAACTTGAAATTATATTTATTGAACTTAAATTATTTTCACTGAACTGAAAGTATTTTCACCAAACTAAAATTATTTTTTATCGATTAAAACTTATTTTTATTGATTCCTTAATAATTTCTTAAATAAGTTAAATAACAAGTAACAACGCGTTTTGTATACGGCTATAAAACTGACCGAGTAACCCCTGTAATACTAACTGAGTAACCTCTAACACTGACTAAGTAACCCCTATCTATAACACTGATTGAGTAACCACTATAACCCCTGACCAAGTAACCCTTATAGCACTAACGAAGTAACTTTTGTAATAGTTGGTAACACAGTTTGGCCAATTACGTATAAAAGTTTGTGATTAAATATATATTATAAATGGATCTTATTTTAAAGAACTTTTTAAAATGAATCTGATGATGGAAATAGAACATAGTTATAGGATATTTATTAAAAGTTATGATTAATTTTGTATATATGAAATATTAGAATTCTATCAATAATTAAACTCTATACAACAATTTTATTTTAAAAATCTATCCAAACATCGCTTATTTAGTATCATACGTGTCACAATAATACCTATATTTCGCCTACGTGGCGCGACACTTGGCGAAAAACTGAAATGCCAAGTGTCGTTGTCTCGTGGCTTGGCTACGGGGGCCGACTTTATATATTAATGATATGATACTAGTTTTGTGCCCCGGGCGATGCCCAGGTTGTTTATTGAAATTTAGGATAAACTTTTGGCTTGAATGTTAAATACGGTCATAAAATCCGATCCATTTTGATAATGCAGGATATTTAGACATGCGATATCATACTTAAAGTATTTTTACTAAACTAAAATTATTTTTACTAATTATCTATTATTTTATTTAAAAAATAATATATTATAAATGGATCTTATTTTAAAAAACTTTTTAAAATGAATTTTATGATGGAAATAGAACCGAGTTATTAGATATTTATTAAAAGTTATGATTAATTTTGTATATATGAAATATTAGTAGTTTATCGATAATAAAACTCTATGCAACATTTTTATCTTAAAAAATCTATTCAAAATTCGCTTACTTAGCATCATATGTGTCATAATAATACCTATTTGTCGTCTACGTGGCACGACATTTGGTGAAAAACTGAGATGTCAAGTGTCGTTGTCTCGTGGCTTGGCTGCGAGACCGGCTTTATGAAAGTATTTTTACCAAACTAAAATTTATTTTACTAATTAAAACTTATTTTTACTAATTAATATTTTTTTAAAATAAATTAAATAACAATGCATTTTGTATGCGGCTAGCCACATCATTTAGCCGAACAAAAATAACCATATAAAACTGATCGAGTAACCCTTGTAATAGTAACTGAGTAACCTCTAACACTGACTAAGTAACCCCTATCTATAGCACTGATTGAGTAACTGCTATAACACTGACCAAGTAACCCCTATAGCACTAACGAAGCAACTCTTGTAATAGTTGGTGACACAGTTTGGCCAACTATGTATAAAAGTTTGTGATTAAATATATTATAAATGGATCTTATTTTAAAGAACTTTTTAAAACGAATTTGATGATGGAAATAGAATTGAGTTATAAAATATTTATTAAAAGTTATGATTAATTTTGTATACATGAAATATTAGAATTATATCGATAATAAAACTCTATACAACAATTTTATCTTAAAAAATCTATCCAAAAATTGCTTACTTAGCATCATATGTGTCACTATAATACCTATTTATCTCCTACGTGGCGCGACACTTGGCGAAAAATTGGAATGTCAAAGGTCGCTGTCTCGTGGCCTGACTGCGAGATCGGCTTTATTTATTAGTGATATGATATGATATTAGATTGTGTGATCTTCTTAAGCTTAACCTGTATATGAGGAGTAGTTGGTCAGAATTTTGTGTTTAGTTGAAAGACATGATAACTGAGAAGGAAGAAAAAAGCAAAAATAAAAGGCCAATTATTAATTTGACCTACAAAAATTGGTGAATTTGTCATATTTTTGCAAAGGAAAAGTCATATCACAGCAAGTTTGGATTTAGAATTTTCAATTCTTAAGGTATGTCCAATCTTAAATTGTATGCGTCTATTCTCAATTCCTCACTTCATTAACAACTAATCACTTCATTATAGTTAATTTACAATACTTAATCCGCTTATAAAGATATAAAAGAAGAGAAAAGACTAAAGACGGATGACTAGGGAGATCTCTCCTACCTTTTTCCTCTTCTCAAACCTTGGCTTCTATCTGTAGTTTTTGTAGGGGCTAAGGTCATGTTTAAGGATTGTAAGCCTCTTTTTGTTATTTTTGTTTCTTCAATCAGCCATTACTAAGATGGATTCATGGATTTAGCTACTCCATATTGTGAGATTTTATTTTCTTCAGTTTATACTCTTTTCTTTTTTGAAAGAAGTTTATTACTCTACTATATTGAAAAAGTTGGAAAATCAATCATACTATACCAATAGCATTGTTGATCTCCATTGGAAAAGTTGTTTTGAGATTGGTGAAAAGTCTATTAAGAAAGCGTTTGGATCGAATAATGGAAACGGAATGGAAAAGAAACAAATAAGAGGAGGTAAATGAATCATTTAACTATTATATTATCATTTGTTTGGTTTAACCATGGAAAGGAATCATTTACTTTACTCCCATTGTTTGTGTTTGAGGACGGTAAGGGTATTTGTTACCCTAAGTTTTTGAAAGGTAACAAATAAGAGGTAACTATTACCCTTAAGTAATGGTAATTGTTACCAAACCTTATAACCAAACATTCGGTAACGCTATTGGTTTAATCGAATTCGTTTCCAATCCATAAAATACACTAACCAAACATGCTCTCAAAGTGATCATATTTCCAATGCTCTAATAATTTAGTTGAAATGAGTCTATAATGAGCCTATGAGGGGTATACAAGGTTTAGAGACCATGCGATAAGAGAATAGATAGCAAGAACTCATTAACGAAGCAAGTAATCCTGCATTTAAAGGATTTATTGGGATAAATATTTTGAATAATTAACACTAATTTGTGGAGTAATGTTTGTCAAAAGACTTTTTAGAATCATTTTTGACAATTCCTTTAAACATATAATCAATAACTAATTATTACTATGAAGTAATATATCCTCAAGGCTATTAAATATCTATAGTTGTATAAGAGTAAAAATTATAAAAAGTTGATATTGTGAAAGTATTATATGCGACAAATCTAACAAGATCCCACATAATTATACTTTACTTAACGTATAAATCATATTATATGATTAAACAAGAGTGATGAATAGTGCAAAATTCCAATTGTTGGAATAATATTGGAACGAAGGAAGTACTATGTACCCATAATTAAGTTCATATATCGTTTATATCACTATCTTTAATGACTCTCTCTGCATTAAAAATAAATAAAATTTAGGAGTAGTTAACTACTACTACAACATATTCCTTTAATCCTTGTAACTTTTTTTTTTGGAAACTTGAATCCTTATGACTTTATCAAACACGTCATAATAATTTTTTTTTTAAAAGAAATAATATACTACCTCCGTTTTTTTTTTGACATGTTTTGACTTTAGCACTATTCACACACTCTTCTCTGACCGTATTTTTGTGCTTTATACGTAATGAAAAATATAGTCATGTGGCATCTTGTTAGGTTCGTCACAATAAATATTTTCAAAATATCAAAATTTCATAATTTTTGCTTATCAGTAATTAGAGATATTAATAGTTGAAATTGCGCATCGGCAAATGTGACTAAAGAAATGTGTCAACTAAAAAGAAACGGAGGAAGTACTACATAAATTAGTAATTTGTAACTGATTTAGGTATTTTTACCCCGGTACGTGGACCAACCAGAGGGCGTGACATGTGTCACCCTAGGGAGAGCCCAAAGTGGACCTACCAGGGCTAGACACGTGGCAGACAGATACCCCATATGGAATTGGCGGCCTTCAAGGCCCAATTCCCTAGACTGCCTTAAAACAGCACAACCCATTAGTCATAGGTTTCTGTAACCTAGGAAGGGGGAACAAATCTCAACGACTCTATAATTAGGGAGATTCACCCCACTTTGGGGACACACATTCATTTATTACAACATAATCAATTTTCTCACATCAGAGAAAACACCTGATCTCGGAATCCGAGAAGATGTCACTTTACTTTCCGCACCTTTTTACATTCTTCGACCGGTTCTAACTTGATCGTCGGAGGCGAAACTCCACCCACCCGGAGTCTCCGTTGTTTTGCAGGTACAGGCGCCCGAAATCCAGACTTAGTGACGTAACTCTCCTGAGGGACACAGAAAACCCCGAAACAGTAACAATTATGATTTCGTACAACAATGTTTTTTTTTTTTCCCTTTTTCTTTTTCTTTTTCTTTTATAAAACTTTTTTTAAGGCGTTTGATGCATTGAAAACTGTTTGTCTTTACCAAAAAAAAAAAAAAAAAACCACAGTTAAACACAGTAATTTTCAATATTTTTTTTGGAAAATTTTACATTATAACCCTCTAATATTATGTTTTCTATGTTGTGCCACCTCTTAAGTTACACATTGCAACCCTCAGGTATAATTAGTAAGTGACCTTGCCGCCGCGGTTAACAAATTATGTTGATTCAATCACCGTTAGTGGGCCGACTCTCCACTTATTAATATTTTTTATCGATTTGCGTGTCGGAATATGTTCAGTTAGATGTGGAAAAAAAAAAGTAAAATACAGCAAAGGTGGAAGTTAAAGCAACGAATCCCAAAACGCAGTCGTTTAACCTCAAAGCAACTAAAGAACAGAGGCACGAGTAAAAAAGCTCCTCTTCTCTTCTCCTCCCCTTTTTCAAACTCTTCATCCTCCAATTTCCACCAAATTTAATTCAATTTACCTCAATTTTTGCTTCACACTAAGTTTGCAGGTATTAATTGCTTTTTTTAAAATTCTCGTTAATTTCTGTTTTGGGGCAAAAAATTTGTGGGTTATTTGGATCGACCATTATCTTTTGAATTATGTATTTTGTTCTTAATTACTGATTTTGGCCTTAATTAGATTTTCTTATTTCAATTACTTCTACTGAAGAAACTGATCATCATAATTAAATAATAAACTTTTGTTCAGATTTTTGGTTAATAACGGACTTGCTTGTTTTACATCTGCATACTTAGAGAATTTAATGATCTTGGTTTTAATTACTAGTTGTGAGTAAATTGATGAACTATTGTTGTTTAATTATAGGGTTTAAAACTTTGTATTATATTGCATTTATGTTGGAAGCGTTGTTCTGAGAATTGGAGCTTAGAAGTTTAGAACAACTTAATGCAGGAATAGTCAGTGTCATTCAGTTCATGGTTTACTTGATCCAGATACCTTAATTGGTGTAGACGCGAGGCCGTCTACTTATTTATGGCGGTCACATTGGATTAATATATTGATAGTGTACATTAGAATGATTTTGAATCTTGAAATACCAATGAATGTTGTTTAGTTATTTTTGGAATGAATTGAATAGAAGGCTGTTAGGAATATTTGCCCGTGTTAGGAAAACATTCCTTCTTAAGATGGTAAGAAAGAGGTTGGACGGAGGAGTGGAGTCGTGGATAGGAGGATTGTGGAAAAGTCTTCTTAGTTTAGATTTGTGAATTGTGAGCCTTAGATAATTGGGTGATTATTAAGGATCTTTGATGTAGTGCGATTCAATAGACGTGATATGATCAAAAGAGTTTTAGAATTTGCTTTTAGCTATGGTTGGAGATCCCTTCCTGTAAATTATGGTAAGGGTATTTTAAGAAGCGGTACTAATCTTCATATAATTGGTGTAATGGCTTCGTTCTGTTTTGCTATACATTAGCACTTTTGTAGCTAATGCCATCTCATTTTCTATTTGTGTGGATCTGTGGTATAGGCAAACATCATGGATCATCATCAATATGGAGGAGGAAGCTGGAGTATGATCCCCAACATTACGCATAACAACTTATCTACAGCCTCCACTCAAGATCCTCTCTTTCTCTCGTCTCAGCCCCAGCACCAACAGCAGTTTCATCTTCAGCAACAACAACAACAACAACAGTTTGGCCTTCATCATCAACAACAACAGTTTCAGTCACCACAACACCAACAATACATTCAGCAATCTCCCCAACAACAGCAACAACAGTTTGTTCAACAACAACAACTGCAACAGCAATTTGTTCATCCCTTGCCACAACAACAACAACAACAACAACCTCAACAACAACAACAACCACAACAACAACAACAACCACAACAACAGCAACAGTATGTACATCCTTCACCGCAACAACAGCAGCAACAATTTGTTCATCCTTCGCCTCAACAACAACAGCAACAATTTGTTCATCCTTCGCCACAACAGCAGCAGCAACAGTATGTTCCTCCTTCGCCCCAACAGCAGCAGCAACAGTATGTTCCTCCTTCACCCCAACAACAGCAGCAGCAATTTGTGCAACAGTCCCCTAAACAACAGCAGCAGCAGCAGCAGCAGCCACAAATACAAACACAGAGGTTTCATCAGCAATATGTACAGCAATCGCCACAACAACAACAACAATTTCAGCAACCATCACAATTTCAGCAGCAATCGCAACAGCTGCAACCACAACAACAACTTGTGCAACAATCACCACAACAGTCGCAGCAACAGCAACAGCAACTGCAGTTACAACCACAGCAGCCGCAGCAGCATCAGTCACTTGCTTCTCATTTCCACCTCTTAAATGTGAGAATTTATTTTCTTAAAACAAAACCTAACCCTATTATATGTTCTTTCATATTTATGATTTTGGTAAATTGATGTTGCAGTTGGTGGAAAATCTAGCTGATGCAGTTGAGAATGGGACTCGGGATCAGCATGCTGATAATTTGGTCTCTCCTCCTCTTTCCATTTGAGTTGTGTTACTTATTTTCTACTATCTGGATTAAATTAAGCCAACAGATGGGGTATTTTTATCTTATTGTGTTTCTTATGGCTGTAGATTGGGGAGCTGAACAGCTGCTTTGAGAAGTGCCAACAACTTTTGAACTCTATTTCAGGGACAATTAATTCAAAAGCCATGGTAAAATTATCCATGATTTGAAATTTTTATCGAGTGCAATGTTTGCCTGATTGTTTTGGAGGTTCTCTGTTTGATTCTACTTTATTGTGGATAAGATCCCATTGTTTTTTATTCACTAAAAGTTCTCAGATTTGGCTCGGTCATTAATAACCTGCAGACAGTGGAAGGGAAAAAGCGCAAGCTGGAAGAAAGCGAGCGATTGCTCAATCAAAGGAGGTATGATGCTCAGAAATCTCCTGCATTTTAATGTCAGTTTTGTGCTGCTCTCTAACACATCTTTCTTTTCAAGCCAGGGATTTAATTTCCTACTATAAAAATTCTGTGGAAGAGCTGATTAAATCGGAGCCTTGATACATAATTGAACTCCAATTTCGGTAAGCACTTTGGGTTTGCATGTTTTACTTAAAATTTAACTGATACCAAACAATGAAGAAATGACCACCGCATAAGCTGTTGTTTGAGTGTGTTGCTGTGGTAGTAGCACTTAGTCTTGGTACAGAACTCCTCGTTGAAAGCTATAAAGATTGTCAGTAGAAGATACCTTGTTGTGCCTCACTTATTTTGTAGGTTATTGGAGAATTTCCTTTTGGTTTGTTAGTCTTGAAGGAAACTAGGAGAATCAGAATGTTACATATGCTTCCACACCAAGGAAATAATTGAGCAGTGTGAGAAGATTATAGAGTGCATGTATGGTTGAATTTCCTTTTGGACAGTTGTGAAAATTTATACGAAGTATCTTTTTCTACTTTGATATTATGGTCTTCCTCATCATAGATTGGCACAATTTTATGAGCAGGGAGTTGTTTACATGGACTCTGCAGACCACATGTAAGGGGTGTTTCCCCACATAGTATTTCAAGATTATTTATGGCATTAGAACTCAAAGTCTAGTATACCTTCTTAGTGTGGTCCACATTATGCTCCTTAAGTTTTTACTCTTGGAGGCTACGATGACTACTCTAATTGGTATTCTGTGAACCCTCTTTTAAATTTGGTTGCTATCTAACCATAATTTAGCTTAGGATTTGAGCATTCTGATTCTTAACTGATTTAGAACGCAAGGCAACCTACTTGGGGAAACCTTTCCTTAGTTTATTTTTGAGATCACTCAGTGGGTTTCAATTGTTTCATGGGCACATAAAGTCATGAAATTCATGGATTATTGTCACTGGAATCAGCATGTAATTACATACTATAGTCTGGATCCCTGGTGTAGCCTATACCTTTAGGCTAACTATCTGCAAAGATAGTTGAAACTTGAAAGCCTTCTCCAAATTTTTGCCTTGATCTGTTTACAAGGACTGGGAGGATGATGTTATGCAGGCGAGTTTGCCTTTGCCCTTTGAAATAGGCTTGTGCCACCTGGCCGGGGTAATCTTTCATTTTAAAGGCCATGAATATATTCAGGACCTTATGGATGCTCCTTGCCCCCACCCTCCCTCCCCCTGCCCCTCTCTCAACCCTCTTCAAAACTTTTTAACAAGATTTATTGCTCAGCCAGATTTTCAAGAAAAAATGTATTCTTATACGTTCATGCCCTGAGTTAGATGCCATTTTGATCCACTACAAGAGGCAATGAAAGAACATTTCATGTTACAGAATGCCTTTTCATCATTGAATGAGTCCCTTGTTACTTCTTTTTTTTTTTCTGCTATTTTGCTTCAGCTTCCCTCTCTCTATCTTCTTTTGCTCCCTGAGCTAAGCTAAAGGAATATAGCTCCATCTTTGCGAGGCTGAAGATAGCTTATAGTCTCACCCTAGATGCCCCACGATATCAAGATTTTATCCTAGCAATTTTCGGACAGCAGAACTTTTGAATCAGGTCTTTATAAGGAGTATTTTTTATTTTTTATTTTTTGATCTGATGTATCGTGTACACATTCATGTTTTCGCTAGATGTCAACTGAGGATCAGAGTTACAGTTCTATAAAATATTGATAATACCAAAGAAGTTAGCTGGGATAAATATTTGTGCCTCCTCCCTGCTTACTGCTATGTGTTGTTTGCTAACTTTGCTTTCTCCCAGGCTTTGGATTTCTTGAGGGCTCTGGTTTGCAATAACTTATGGCTCATCGTCAGGGGATTGCAATTTATGATCAGATAGTAATAAGTCCCACAATCTTTGAATGTTGATAGCGGTGCTTGGAACGTTGATGGAGATAATAGTTGTGGAAGCTACATTCTTGGAATAATATTCCTCATTAAATAAAAGCCCCATTTGATCTGATAAAATGTGTGTAAAATATCATAATCTCAGTGAATTGGGGCAGCTTGTTGTTCTAGTTCTGTTCTTTTGTTTTCTTTTAAGGTTTCAGAATTCTTGTTCTGTAATAAAGATCATTTTTAGGTGCAGCATGTTCATGAATTACTAGTATGTAATTTTTGCCAGAAAACTTTCAAACATGTCTCAACCTCTGATAGGAGTTTTGGTGATTGTTTGATCAATAAGAAAAGCCTAATTTGCCTTGTTGAAGTTTCAACTTTCAAGTGTTACTTGAATGGTTATTATCACACAATGTAATTTCAAGACTTGCCAGTTACCAGAATTGTTAACACTTGAGACAAAAGGACTTTTTAGGCGTCCATATTCCAAGGAACTAAAAAAAAGTCACGGAAAATTTGCAACATGCGTGATAAGTGAAAATCACACCTTTCAATTTAGCCATCGTGTAATATATAACACAGGCGTTCAAGAATTCTTAGTCACTGCATTGGTGTGTGAGGCAATTATCAGTACTTTGTATCTAAAAAAGGAAGCAATTGAACATTACAAGTTCAACCAAATATGGAATATTAAAAAATTAGAGTTTAGTGGCATGGGAGTAGTCATTATGCCTTACACAAGCTGAAGGCCCTTTACATTAGAACTGAGAATAGGGAAGACTTCAGAGATCATTACACAACCGAAAATCCAGAAGATAGAATCCATTATGCAAAAGCTGAGTTACATATTATTTACAACAAAGTTTGGTAACACAGACAAATGTGACGGAACCGATCTGAAGAGCCTATTAACTCACGTATCATTCATTATGTGTATGTTAGAGAGGGGCCGGAGAGGAAAATCAGGTTCCATGATCAAGTAATCTGAAATAATATTACAGGATATGAAGGTTATACAAGACTAATGTGTCCTTGCAACCGTATCATTCTACATGACTCCAAGCTTGCCTAGAGTACCTGTTCTTGGCGAGATTTGTATCTTATGATCTAACTTTGGCTAAACGTGCCCTTATCGCCTCCATTTCTTCCTCGTCATCTAAACCTTCAGCAATTGGCTCCTCATCCTACAAAGACAAGCAACCAAAATTTCAGCCACAGCAAACCAAAAACCTAACTTAGGCAGTCAGGTGAAAGAAATTTCAGGCTCACCTGTATGCTCGTGCTCTGTGCAGGTGCCTTAATCTTTTCTTTCCTCGCTGCAACAGGAAGCTGTGCAGCAGTCTCACTGGCCAACTCTGTGAGGATCTTGTCAACCTCTTCCTCTGTTTCCTCTTCTATGTCTTCAGAATCTAGCGCATCATCAACAGCCTCGTTGACAAACTCTTCAATTACCCCAGCCTTAAAACATGAAAGAAAAGGCATGAATTAAAAAATAAAAACAGCATTAATATATCTCTTATCACACAACGGGGGCAAGCTATGTGCCCCATGATGTCACAAGTTTATGGCCGAATCAACTAAGGCTTGCTCAACAGATCAAATTCCTATTTTCTTATGATACCTTGTTCACATAAACAATAAGACAAATGGCACACCATTTCATGAATCAAGACTCAGTTAGCTGAGTATTACACTGAAAAAATTCAAGTGACAACCTAATGGTGAAATTAAGAATTGCGCTAGAAGCCTGAAAACTGATTGTTTAGAATTATTTTTTATATAATATACCTTGGTCATCTCTTTGCTGAACTCTTGCATAGTAACAGCAACTTGTGGAGCTTTCATGAGGTTATTGACAAGTTTCATCACCTCAGCACTCTTTTGCAAATGACCCACTGTACGAGCAACAGCTGCAAGTACAAGATTCAAGGTGAGTTAATAAAGATACAAAATGTAGGGCACAAAGTGTTGCAACATAGAACATATGCTGCAGTCAAATTGTAGGCAGAAGAGCCATATAAGTAATCAGTAATTACTACTGACATTGTAATGAATAACAGTAGCCAATTTGGCCAGCGCAATTCAATTTGCCATATATTCTAACTAACATTGCAGGAGACCAACCCAAAAATAAATTAACAACGGCCAAGGTTCATAATGTGTACTACAGCTTAGATAAATTTTCCAGCTTCTGTTTGAAGTCAATTCATTAGTGCTTCATATTAATAATGGTTCAAAATCAGTGCAATATAAAAATTAAAGAAGTTGGGAAGGTAGGATGACAAATATTTGTGGAATGAAAGCATATGACAGCCTATTTTCCATTTCTAAGGAAAGATAGAAGAGAAAGGAGAAATCAACAATGATACCACAAAGCAGATTCATCTTATGAATGAAGAATGACAGACAGCAATGCGAAGTGAAAGGAATATGCTAGATATGCTAGAAATTTACTTGTCGACATAAGATGAAAGTTAAAAACCAGTCCCTTATCAATGGGGAAATTAATACACTGAAGAAAATGTTAAAAGGACTTTAGGACCATGAATCTAAAGAGAAACAGCAGAAAACAGAAATATGCAGAAATTAGTTGCTCAGTAATTGACAAGCATATCAACCGCCCGACTAAATTTTAAACATATTGCAAAAGAAGAATGATGTAAGATGTCATATAAACTAATTTAAGTATTACATGAAGCTTTATCATACCAACACTTTCTCCGAGATGCATTGATATTGAATTAAGTTGAGCTTTATTCTCATGAAGACGATTGACAGTTTTTCTTGACCTCACAATTTCCTTAGCAAGTGCCTGATACATTATACACAAAAGATAGGTATAACTCTCCATTCTCGGAAAACATCCAACAGAGAGGAATTTCAAAGGCACGTAAACATCTTTACACTTCTATCACGTGGCATCTCACATTCATACACAAACCCTAAATTCTCATAAATTAGATCACTGAAATTCAAAATGACATTGATGATAACACCTTTGCAGAACCCATGTCATTTCTCTTGGCAGCATCTCTAATTGCTTTTTGTACACTCTTCTCTTCCCTTTGAATATCTAAAATATTCCAACAAAAACCGAATTAACAAAATCAAAATAATCTACTCATAAACATCAAATATTCACATCATCTTCAATAGCAAGAACTAAACAAATAAAGAACGATAGAATGCGACGACATGCCTCGAATCTGGCGCTCGATATTACGACCCTCTTGACGAAGACGCCTTTGCCAATCTCTAAGCAGTTGCTGAGGGTTTGGCTTCACCCCCAACATACTCTTCACTTTGTCCATATCCAATCTCTCCCCAGAAAACAGTACCAAATATATGATTATCAAGCTGACAGCAATCAATTAGGGCAGATGAAGAACCCAATTGAACCAAATTCTGTTTCAATCTAAGAAAAATTAAATCTTTATCAGTTTGATCTGGATTTCAATTGAATTGGGCAATACTTTACAATTCTAATTGAATCAAATTGAACTGGGTACAATACAAATTTAGCAATGATTTTATACATACAGATAATTAAGAATATGAAGAAATTATGCAAATCAAAGAAAAGTTGTCATCTTCCAGAAGATTAAAAGTCTAAAACTTGAAATGCACAAAGAATGGTTGAAGAATTTACCAGATGAAGAATGAAGATGAACAACGAAGGGAATCTTCCGCAGACAAAGAGGAAAGAGGAAAGTAGTAGCGCGAAGAATGAAAGATGGATGGTAAACTACTCGTAGCAACAGCAAGTACCAACTTTAGCAATGGTACAATGTGATCACACGATAATCACCCGGAAATTTCACTCGTTCGTCTTTTTTTATTTTTTTGTATGGAGCTTATGGAGTTATGGGCGAAAGTTATTCAGATTTATTTTAAAGTCCAAGGGGAAATACAGGTTTATCACATTAATAAAGCAATAGTATTGAGAGTGAGAAATATCTCAAGTGATTAGAGCTCCCTTTCAATTTCAAGGGATCCTGAAATCGATTCTCATCTCCGCTCTTATGGCTCTCTAAACACCACAAAAAATAAAAAAAACCAATATTTTAGGAAATTTTATAATTTTGTGTATATCAAGGGTTAATCAACGTGATCAACCTAGGCACACTTAAAGTCCAATTAAAACCATTTGGATTGAATCGAACAAATCGAAATTATATGGACAACTTATCCACTTTATATCTTGTATTGTTACACACACACACACACACACACACATATATATATATATATATATATATATATAAAAAAAATATATATATATATATATATATATATATATATATATTAGGTTAATGTTATATTCTATATTTTTCTTTTCCAAACAAAGAAAGACTTTTTTTTTTTTTTTTAAGAATTCTTAAAAATGAGATATTCTCAGGGATTTGTTAAACATCGCCCACAAATTACTACATAAAGCCCACAAAATTCACTTAGTTTGACAAAATTGCCCTTGACCTTTAAAAAAAACACTCACACTCTCATTGCTCATCTTCTTTCAACCTCTCTTAAAAAAAAAAAAATTTTAAACAACGGCAATGTCGAGGCGGCAAGGCAAGGAATTGGCGGCGGTGGCGGAGGGAAGGATGTCCCAAGGTGGCAAGGTACAATTTGTAAAAAAAAAAATAAAATAAAGGGAAAAACCGCCGTGACGGCGGTGGGGTGCCCTGGCTGGACGCCCAGCAAGCGGTGGTGGCGCCAGCTGCAGACGCCGCCACCAGTTGGCTGGCGCCTGGGCTGGACGCCATAGCCACGGTTGTGGCGTTTATTCAAGGCGCCGCAGCCGTGGCTGTGGCGTCCAGCCCAGGCGCCAGCCCACTGGTGGCGACGTCTGCAGCTGGCGCCACCACCGCTGGCTGGGCGTCCAGCCAAGGCGCCCCCCCCCTTTTTTTTATATTTGTTTGAAAATATTGTTTTTAATTTTTTTTTTTTTTTTGTGTAATATATTTTTGAATTGTTTTTATATTTTGTTGTTTATTTTTATAAATTTTTTCAATTTCGTTGTATTTTTTCTATGTTTATATTTTGTTTACAATTATTTGTATGTTTTTAGTTTATTTGATTTGGGAGTGGTAGCTATTTTTCGTATAAATTTTTGTATGTTTATATATTTTAAAATTTTGTGTAGAATTCACTGGGTCGTCATGGTGCGGGGAAGAATGTAGAGCTTCTTAGTAAAAACTATTCAGTGGAGAGGTCGGGGCATAGACATGTCAGATCCCGTGGTATTTCGGCCTCAGCTCGTAGAGAACGGATCCACCGTCGGGATGAGGATGACGATGACGATGATGATGCTGAGGAGGGTGACCAGGAGGAGGAGCAGGAGGAGGGCGCAGATGAGGATGAGGATGAGGATGTGGACGATGGCAGTGGACCGTATGATGATTACGGTCCATTCAGTCAGAGGGTTGATGACATGTACGAGACACATATGGTGGAGGTGCGTAAGGGTAGGGGTGGTAGGTTTGTTAGTAGATCTGGCACATCATCTGCGTCCACTGTATCTGGGGCAAGCAGGAAACGGTCGAGGGCCGGTAATGATTCTTGGGTTTTTAGGAGTGAGGTGCCCGGTGGGCCTGTTGACGGGAGTGTGATTCCTAGCTTTCTAGGACACATAGCTGCCCGTATTTGGGAGGACCAGGAGAGGCCTTCAGTTACGGGGTTGTTGAAATGTCATACCCGGGAAAAGACTTGTAGCTTTTTGCGTACATGGGCTGAGGCTTGGTCGGCGGAGAGCGAGATGTTCGAGCGACTGGAGGGCACTGGGGTGAATCACGTTCCTGCCACCATGCACGATAAGATTGACAGTACGCTGATCACGGCTTTCATTGAGCGATGGCAGCCGGATACAAACTCTTTCCACCTTCCGTTCGGTGAGATGACGATCATGTTACATGACGTCGAGGCCATTCTGGGGATTCGTGTTGAGGGTAAACGACTTTGTGTTGTGGCTGATGCGGATCAGGCAGATTTGCTGGCAGAGTTGTTGGCGGTGGACAGGGCTGCACTGTACACCGAGGCGCTAGGTGTTTGGGAACACGGAGGTGTGAAGATCGCATCCGTGTTGCAGCGGTGTTTGTACCCCAGTGCACGTAGGACGCACGACGCACAGCTGAGTGCTTATGTTTTTCTACTCCTCGGATGTACCTTGTTTCCGGATAAGAGCGGCGGAAACAAGCTCAGGCCACGCGACATAGTGGAGGCGTGTGACCCCGACAGTGTAGGCCAGTTTTCCTGGGGATCGGCTACGTTGGCGTATTTGTATCGCCAACTAGGATTTGCGAGTCGGGCTGGCGCGGCAGGTATCACTGGGTGTCTGACTCTATTGCAGACCTGGATATACGAGTACTTTCCTGCATTGCGACCACATCGTGACCCAGTTCCTATTGATGAGGGGATGCCGCGTGCTTGTGCGTGGAGTCCGCGCTCGGAGAAGAAGTCCGTTGACCGCCTCCGATCGATACGGTTGTTGCTGGACAGGCTGTCCCCCTTAGAGGTAACGTTTATAAATTGTTTCTACATTTTATTATTTGCACATATTATATTCATGTTATTAAATTTTAAAACTATGTGCAGGTGAACTGGATGCCTTTCGGCCCGAACCCTAGTGTTAGGGTACCCAGGACCCTGTACACGGGACTCATTCAGTATCGTGAGATCGTCGAGGCGTACATGCCCCAGCGTTGTCTTCGCTAGCTTGGATTTGTCCAAGTTGTCCCTCCTCCCCCGGCATGCCCGATGAAGGCGGTCCGACCTGCATCTTTGAGGGACTACGTCGTGCAATGGCCGGATATCATGACCGGGACGTGGGACCAGTTTCCGATGGTGGCCCGCTTATGGACTGCGGAGTTGCAGCGGCCGCCCTCTGGGGTTACTCCCATGTGTGACCATTACTACATGGAATGGTTCAACCGGTATTCGCACCCGAGGTTGATCGCAGATCTCGACCACAGCGATGATGATTATGTGCCACCGCCTACTGCCATGGAAGCGGTATGTCTTATATTATATTTATCGTTGTCTTTTAATTAAGTTTTATATGTTGTTATTGTATTTCATCTTCTGTTTTTTGTTGTATGCAGTGGATGGGAAAGATAATGCAGGACGTACAGAAACTCTCTCTTGAGAAGGACAGCATGAGTGCAACAGGGAGAGCTGTTGTTGATAGTCTGGAACAGACCCTTGCGCAGTGGGAGTCGTCGTCGAGGAGGGATTACTGATGGTTTTGTCATTTTATTTATAGAGCACTTTAAATATCATCGTTTTAATTTATTAAATTGGACATTATGTTGTAAGTTTGTAACATTTTAGATTGTTCTTTTAGCTTCCAACTTAATCATTGCTGTTTTTAAATTTTGATATAACCGTTCGTGGATCCGCGCAACTTACCCATGCAACATATAGAATGCAGTAAGCAATACAATGTAAAAGATTAATGTTCTCATTAAAAGAGCAACGTACAAATAAGATTACAAATAAAGAATGTAAACATGAAAAACTAAAATGCAGCTAGGGTGTTCCATTCGTGGATCCGGTCATGATATAGCGCATCCCAACCCTCTACGCTCGCTGTGCGAATGTTGTACCACCGAGGTATAATCGTGGCACTGGAAAATCGGATGACATGTCTAGTCGGATGAAATGTCTGTATGACGACCCAAGAAACGCAATAGCTAGCTCTCTGACCGGTGTGGTGACAGTCTCACGCGACCGCCAAGGGAGAACCGTGGTACAAGGATAATAAGCTTGACTATGCACTCCCAGGCCGAAATGCATGACTGCGCATTTGTAAATGTTTGCAACGGCAAACAGATCTAGGGGCGCGTCAAAATAATGATTTTGGCCGCAAGGTCCACCTCCCCACCGGATACGCCGCAGAGCGCCATCCAAGTCATCCTGGTACACATGACGATAAACATTTCGGTTAGAGGCAATTTCGCTGTACATCAACTGACGCACCAAACCGTAGTTGTCTTTGCCCATTTGAAAAACATCACCCACGACCCGGAATCCGCAGTTACCATCTCCGACTACATCATTCCACCCTTCCAAGTACGGCATGATGATCGCAGGTATCCTTTCCTTGTACGGAAACTGATCAACATCGTTTCTTCCTATTCACCATATAATTATAGACAGTTAAGAAGGCAGGAGTAACACTTTAAAACTATGTGCAATGTAAACAACCAAAACGTACCAATTCTCAGGGGCATATTCACAGACGATGAAGATTGACTACGACTAGATGACGATGTCCGACCACGAGCACGACCACGACCAAGACCACGGATATACTCAAACGCACTCCTGTTCCGCCGTTGTCGACCTCGAGGACGGTCAACTCCTTCGGGTTCCTCATAATCTAAGGTAGACGTGTGGAACATGTCATGAAGTACATGAGTAGCGTCACGAATAATAGAAGGATGGCTGGAGGACACCCGGTCGTACATCGAACGAAACTGCTCCAACTCCTCCTGTTCACGGTCGGCCGTTTGAGTGTCTGCATGCTCACCAATAACAAGCGTCCACCAGAATGAATGGACCTGATCAACATGTAACGACGCCCTTTCTTCTGTAATAACGCGGTGAATGGTGCATGCGCAAGGTAATCCATGAGTTACTGAAATAGCACACCCACACCGAGCATACACTTCGTCAGCCAAGTCCCTCATCCTGTTCAGCTCAGTGAGAATCAACCCCAAGCAGTAGTGCGACACACGACCATGGAGAATCTTAAATATAAAATGGCTATACATCGTACCATGTCGTCGTCTGGAGTCCTCTAGAGAGTTCCTGATGTCGTTCTTCTGAGTTTCAATTGACTTGTTCAGTCTAGCGAACAGTGTATCCAAAGCAGCGGTCGATGAATCAATCCAGTCCTTGGTAGCTCTATGAGCGCTCTCAACTCTACATGTTGTAGTGTTCCCAAAATGAAGTACCTGGTTTGTCCAATATTTGACAAACTTTTCCCTGTGAGGGACCCATTGATGCATCACATAGTCCACCAGTACCAGACACCATTGGTACGAATCCCTGAAGTTAGCCAATGTTCGCTCATACGCTTCCTCTGTGGTAGCCTGTAGGATCTTCCGCCACTTACCATTCACCAATCTCTCTGCCATTTCCAAATTCTTCTTGAAAAGGTTGTAGGCTTTCACTTTCACGCAGTTGTTGATGTGCCATGTGCACAATAAGTGGTTCGATTCGGGAAACAGCTCTGCTATGGGGGCAAAGAGACCTCCCTCACAGTCGCTGACGATGGCTGCTGGATGAACATTAGGCCCGATGTAGTTTCTCAGCTTCTCCAACACCCAATAATAACTTGGAGCCGTCTCATCCTTGATGATTGCATGACCAATCAGAAAGTTCTGGTTCGTTGAAGCCATCCCAACCATCTCAACCAGTGGGAACTTGTACTTGTTTGTCTTGTACGTTGAGTCGATCAAAATCACAAATGGCCAAGACTTGATCATATCAGCACAATCAGGATGCACAAGGAAAAGATGAGTCACCTCCGTTGTATCTTCATCAGAATCAAACCAGAACAGGTAACCACGTGATTGTGCCTGGTGTAGCAGCTGCTGTATAGGGTTCCTTCCCTCTGACCGTTCAAACCTGAGTTGCTGTCTGACGTTGTAGATGTGTCTTCGGTTTGGATGGTCTTCTGGAAATTTCTCTAACACAGATGCTAATATTTTAGCAGGCTTCACTTGAGCATCACTCATTTCTTTCACAACTAGTTTCGCAGCAGGACTTAAGCCGCTCAGTTGTCGATGACCCTCTTCATATACTATCATCTCATGGTTGTGATACCCCCATTTAGAGTAACCAATCACTTCCCAACCGTCACGACTCCGTAGTTGTCGAACCTTTACTCTGAACTCACACCCACAACCTTTCCGCTTTGTATCAAACCGAGTGGCTGTACGAAAATCTCTTTCTTCTCTTTTGCGATAACGGTCACATCTCAAAATGCGATCCATTCTACCATCCCGTTGAGATTTATGAGTTACTACTACCAAGCAAAATCCAGCTGCAATTGCAACCTGTTTTGCCCAATCAATCGCCTGTTGAGCTTCTTCGAATGGACCATCATGTCCAAATATCCCACTGTAATCATTTCCGTCTCCACCATATTCCTGCATCAATTATATATTACAATAAATACATTTAACGGATAATACATTTAATTTCTATATTTACACAGAATTAACACAAAAAAAAAAGCATAATTATATATAATCAAACTTAATTTTTATAAAAACCCAATTCGAATTTTCAAACTAAATTTAAAAATATACCATTTCGAATTTTCAAATTTAATTTTAAAAAAAACCTATTTCGAATTTTCAAATTTAATTTAAAAAAAACCCATTTCGAATTTTTTTAAAAAATCATTTTCGATTTTTTTTTTTAAAAAAAAATTAAATAAAAAACAACAACAAAATCAAAAAAGAAAAAAAAAATTAATTTATAAGGGTGGCGTCTGCCAGGGCTGCCACAACCACTGGACTGGCGCCTGGCAGGGCCGCCTCAGCCAGTAGAGTGGCGCCTGGCCAGGACGCCAATCTGGTGGTCTGGGCGTCTGGACTGGACGCCACTCTGGTGGTTCTGGCGTCTGGCTTGGACGTCCAGGCTACGGTATGGGCGTCCATCCTAGGCGCCGGAGCCACTCCGACGGTAAACCGTGAATTTTAACGGTGACTTACCTCGTTTTCCGTCGACGACGACGTAACTCCGGCGTCCCCCGCATCTCCGGCCTGCCCTCCGGTCTCCCCCGGCGAGCCAGTACGGCTCCACATTTTTTACACCGAGATTATTTCAATTTTAGAAAATGGGCATAATGGTCAAACTATATCATATTTGTGGGCTTTATATGGTAAATTGCGGGCGATGTTTAGCGTTTCACTATTCTCAATGGTAACCCCCTATTATTACTACGCACCAATGGTAACCCCCTTTTTATGGATTATACAAAATGACCTTAATTAAGATTTTCATCTAACTCATAACCTTATTTCATTAAATTTATTGACTATAGTTAGATTTATATTTTAAAAAAAAAAAAACTAAAAAAATTAACCCAACCACCTGCCCAGCCACCCTCACCTACCCAACCACCCCCAACTTTATTTTTTTTTCCCTTTCTTCTTCTTCTTCCCTTTCCCCCTCCATAACTTCAGGCCAACCCCACCTTTCCGATTTCCGGCCACCCCCACCTGCCCAAACCCTATCCCCTGCGTCGACAAAGCTGATTCGCCCATCTTCACCCACTTTTCCCCCCTTAAACCACCATCCTCGATACCCTAAAACCCCAAAAACGAATTCCCCACCAAATTCGAATTCGCCCATCTTCCAAACCCGAATCAAACTCCTGATAAACAAAACATCTATACATCTTCACAAACAGCCCTAAAACTTCTTCAAAAAGATGATTATCAATAAGGGCAGCCATCACAATAGCCAAAGAAATAAAATTTCTGTGCGGCATTTCATCGAACAGTTGGTGTGCAACATCAAAACAACCACAACTCACAAGCATCAACAAAATTCGATTAAGCAAGCACAACCCAGTAGACCCCTTCAAAAATCTAACAATTCCAGCGTTTTTCTTCATGTGGGTATAAATTTCTGCTGCTTCAATGACGTCTCGTTTTTGGGTGCATTCAACAACAAGAGAAGCATAAATATCTGAGGTAACAACAACTCCAAGACCATCCATTAAATGCAGAACATCTAAGATTCTGTTGTTATTATTGCAAATTTGAGTATTTCGTTGTTGCGGCGTCGGTGAGATGGTGGTGGTTTTGTGGAGCGGTTGTCGGAGAAGGGTGGGTTTGAGAATTGAAGGGTGGTGTTGTTGTTTTTGGGTTGGGTGAATTGAAGGGGAGGGTGGTCGGGGAAGGGGGTTGGGCTACGGCGCTCCGGGGGAAGGGGGAAGGACTCGTCGGTGGCTATGGCTGGGTTATGGTGGGTGGTTTTTTGGTGGGGGTGGCTGGGCAGGTGATTGGGTTAATTTTTTTATTTCATTTTATTTTTTAAAATATAAATCTAACTATAGTTAATAAATTTAATGAAATAAGGTTATGAATGAGATGGAAATCTTAATTAAGGTCATTTTATATAATCCAAAAAAAGGGGGTTATCATTTGTGCGTAGCAATAATAGGGGGTTATCATTGAGAATATCCCTAAAAATGATTATGTTTTACAAAGTATGTGTTAGTTTTCCATTCAAAAAAAAGTATGTGTTAGTTTTGGGCTTGTAATTGTTGTAAGAGTCAATATATACCTGCGGAGTAGTCCATTGTATCATAACGTTCATGGACCGATATGCAAACATAATAATAGATTTTGATACGAATATAACTAATTTGAATTTGGTCAATATAATATAATTCTAGACCAAATATGATTGTATTGGAGTTAGTGGAAATGTGAATTGGAATGGAATTGAGCCAAATTTAAACTGAAAATCAAACTTTCACCCCTAGTTAACAATCGATTTTAAATCACTGAATATAATACATTTCAAAGTCACGTTATATTTAAATAGTTGTTGTTTAAAAAAAAATATGTAACTTGATAATTCCCATTAATTAATCCTTCTTAATAATAATTGGTTAAAAATATCACCTTAACTAAATACACTCACCACATGAAAAATTAAACTAACTACCCACCATTACATCATTAGCAACATGAATAGGAACATCACTTCCTTCTTAATTAAAATTGAAACATCTAATGTGAATAGACCCAAGTCACCCAACAATAGTATCCAATAAAAAAAAAAAAAAAATCTATAATCCATCATATAAATAAAATAAAAACAATTCAAGGTTAAAATAGTTTATTACAAAATGGCGTACTGCTATTTTGCTTTTTTATAGGGAAACTTGAGTACATGCTACTAAGTTTCTAAGACCCTATCTTTCACAAAGCTTCATCACTTAATCTTAAAATTCGAATAATACATTAAGAAAAAAAAAAATTCTTACAAAAATTAAAAAGTTTCATGTTGTTGGATCAAACCTCTCATAGGTTATCTCAACCAATTTTAGATATCAAAACTCAATATCATCGAAAATTAAAGGTAGAAATCATACCATTAGCTCAAACAATAATCTTGGTCAATTCTAAATCTATAATTAATAAATCTTAAATAATTTTAACCATCAACAATTAATTTCATATGATTATATAATATATTACAATATACAATTAAACAAATTGAGTTTGTTTTGAAACTAATTTATTTTTAAATCTTAATTTACAAAGTCAAAAATGTCAACACGTACATTTAATAATTTATGTGGAACACAAATGACAAAATAATATTGTGTGGTTCCATCTACCCATTAAGAATTTGGAAATATTTTTTTTTTTATTTTAAATTACTTTGTATCAATCTCTATTTTACTATATATGGAATATTAAAATTGAAATCTAAGACTAAGATTTTGAATATATTCTTATAATTAGTTTAATGTATGAAGGAAAATATAATGAGATGCAAAAACTATAACAAATCAAAACCTTAAGCTGTAGAAGTGGTATAAGATTTGCCAGAAAATTGACACCTCAATTGTATAAATTTAGAAACTAAAAAAAGTCCATAACAACTAACAAACTAATAAAAAAAAAATTAATAACAAAAATAAAAATGAAAAAACTTTGTCTTATGTACTCCTCCTTTCCCTTATTTCTCTCCCAACTTCACATTTCTTCTCTTCCTCTTAAGCTGTATGAGAAAATAAGGGAAGGTAATGAAGAGCAACCCGAAAAACTCATTCAGAAAAAAGCTGCATATTCGGTGGCAACGCAGCGAAAATCTCACCACCATTCCTCAGCAAACACCACCTACACAACAATCATAAAACAAAAACCAATACAAATGAGCAATTGTACAATTTCCAATAGCATTATTACTTCCAATAGTCATCAACATCATCATAGTAGAATTAGCAATGGTACTCAGGCATGCGCGGCATGTAAGTATCAACGTAGGAAATGTGCCTCAGATTGTGCTCTAGCTCCTTATTTCCCTCATGATCGCCAAAGACAATTCCTAAACGCGCATAAATTATTTGGGGTCAGTAACATAACTAAGATCATACGCAACCTTAATCCTCCTGATAAGGACATAGCTATGCGTACAATTATATATCAGTCTGATGCGCGTGCCAAAGATCCTGTAGGCGGTTGTTACAGGATCATAAGGGAGTTGCACCATCAGATTGCATATTGTAAGGCAGAGTTAGACCTTGTTCTTCAACAACTCGAGCTTTGCAAGGCTCAAGTTTATCAACAACAACACGCTCAATTATATCAGATTGCTACCGGCCTTACCCCTCAACCTTTGGACCCTGATTCACAGGTTGATGCAGGGACTGCTAGTACTCCTGTTGCTGATAACAACAATAATAATCAGCAGGGTACTGAGATTTTAACATGTGATAATGATAGTTATCAGCAATATCAGGCTTTAATGCGGTGTTATTATTATGATGAGGCTGAACAAGGGAATAATAATGAGCAACCATACATACCTATTTCGCAGCAACAACAGGTTCAAGATCAGAATGATCAGTATTCATGGGTGGCTCCTCCGAATGATGATGCAGTGTTAGCCTCATCAAATAGCAGCACGAGCCATGGTGACTGTTTTGTGATGAAGAATGATTTTGGAAGCGAATGTGATGGATTGGAGATGAAGCCGCAGATTCAGATTGTTGCGAATGGTGCACCTTATGATGATGAGAAAGAATATGGAAGCAAGTTTGATGAGTCATCTACGCATGTTGATCTCTCGTGTTGTGATCTTCAAGGGGATGGATTGAAGTTTGATCATCAACAAACTACAGAGCTCAGGTTTGCATAACATTAATACGATTTTTAGATGTTTCATTCATAGATAAAATAACTTCGTAGTATTAGTTCTTGCACAAACAATGAATCTTTCTGGGATTTTGCAGTGAAGAGGCGGCGTTGAAGGAAGAAAATATTGTCCTCAGAAATCCGGAGGATGAATCTTTTCACCACATTTCCGAGCACGATCTAAGGAATGCAGCTACTTTATTCACCCTGACAAATTGAACAGACAATGAAAATCTTTCTTTCATAGACTAGGCTAGGAGGCTATCCAACATTTTTAAAGAATGGATGAGGAAATAGAGTTTAATACATTTGTAGAATTTTTGTTTGAATCGTTTGGTTCCACATCCCTATCCAATGAAAGCCGGTGGTAGCAAGCCATCGCAGCTTTAGAGGAATAAATTATAAGACTTGCAGCAGTTGATTTGAAGGATCCTTGCAACTGTATGAAGGTGTAAATCATAGGAGTTAACCACAGAAGTTCAACCTTTGTGGAGTACCTTGCAAAAAATGATTCATAATTCACAGCATCCAAATCTGTACTTCATACAACAGAATGCCAGATTTCAGCATTAGATTTTTGACTCGCATGAACTGAAAACAAATGAGGATCTGTACTTCATGAAACAGAATGCCAGATTTCAGCATTAGCTTTTGACTCGCATGAAGTAAAAACATACGAGGATGCAGTGTTTGGCACTTTCATCTAGTTTCTATTTTTATTAAAAAAAAATGTTATACCGATGACAGGTTAAGGATGCAACTTCCCGAAATATGTTTTTAGATGCTCGAGGTCTAACATACTCCACACAAAGGGAGATTAACATCAAAATCAAGAACAAATTTACAAAAGAATTGCTGAAGTAAATTATCACAAGTCCATCTGATCCATGTCTGGCACACGTTGTCCAACACTGCTTTGTTCTGAATGCTCAATAATAATAGCTTCCGTTGTGGTCAGAAGGGAGGAAACACTGTAAATCAGAAAAGAAACGATTTACATGCAAGAATGTAACAGAAATATAGAATACTCCAAACAAAAGGTAACTGTGCTTAGGTGAGTCTCTACCTTGCAGCATCAGCCAAAGCTGTTCTGATTACTTTAACAGGATCTACAATTCCTGCCTCTATCATGTTGACATATTTACCTGCATCAACAGAAACAGACTGCAAATGTAAGAAGCTCTACTGGTAAACCTGCAAGTCTACAACACCAATGCCTAACCTTTCAAATTGGTTGGTCAGGCAGGCTCAGGTACTTTTGTTTTAATTTCGATTTGAAATGGATTTGAAAAATCAAATTTCATAGAATTTATAAATCTAATCAAATTTTATAGTTGCATTTGGGCCGTACCATTTTCAGTAACTTTTTCAGGTGATTTCCAGTTTCAAATGTATTTAAGAACCTAAAATTAGGGGCACGTCTACTAGAAAGAAAACTCAGCCCTAAGAAACAATGCCTAGAAAAGGCTTTGGAATGTGAATATCTTTCTTTGTTTTGGGTTTGTTGATTTTTGATACATTAGGATTGTAAACTTCAATCTTTTTTTTTTTACTTTTGTGTGACATGCACTTTTTCTTTCTTTTTTTTTTAGTTTTTATTTTATTATTTTGATAGTTGAACCCTGGCTTGCTAGTTTGTATTAAGATTTGGTTCTATTAGTAAATAAACTAAATACGAAAAATATAAAAAAAAAAAGGAAAAAGGGAAGGGGGCATTGGGTAGAAGGTATAGATGAAAAGACCATCAAATAGGCTACCTTTGGATGCATCATAGCCAAAATTGTGATCATTCTGCTCCAACAACTTGCCAATTACCAGCGAGGCTTCACCTCCAGCATTCGCCACAATGGTGAATGCAGGTGCCTAAAGATTATTCAGATTCAGTTATAAATAGAGACATAGTACTCCCAAAAAGACAACAAAATCATAATGTACACAAGAGGAAACCTTAAGAGCGTTTTGGACAATTGAACCCCTCTTTTCTGATCTTCGTTTTTGGTTTGGATATTATCCAGAGCTTTTGTTGCATAAAGGAGAGAAACTCCACCACCTGTGATTAATACTCGACATAAAATGAACGAGTGAAAGGTGGTGAAAGAGATTAGTCAGGAAAGGCCATTTTTTTTCTCCAGTGTATTGAGTGTATAAATGTAGACTCACCAGGAACAATACCCTCCTCTACAGCAGCTCTTGTCGCGTTCAGAGCATCAATGACCCTATCTTTTCTCTCACCGAGTTCAGCTTCACTAGCACCTCCAACCTGTTCAATGAAAATATATATATTTAAAAAATGGTCCAGTAAGAGAAAACTATTTTATTTCGGAAAGATAAGGAGGACCTTGAAGACAGCAACACCACCAGAGAGCTTTGATAACCGCTCCTGTGCCTTCTCTTTGTCAAAGGTTGAAGTACTGTTCTCCATGGAAGTTCTAAGCTGCAAAAAAAATAATAATCTCTTGATTCATACTTAGCAGTTTCTGCAGCTCATACATATAGAGGACTTCATAACGAAGTACATATTAGATCCTAGACAATGATAAAAACTATTATACAAACTTTATATGAGCCATATAGGCAATGTGAAATTCAGGTTAAGTCTTAAATCCTAAAAATTGCTTCTCCTTGGGCCTTGTATTATTGCTTTATAATGCTCGTCAAATTATTGCCTTTGTTTTCTAGTTATCTTATCTTTAGCAAACAGGTACTCCTACAATGTACACCCATTGTTAAAAGAGACAGTAAAGGAGGAGAAAGGATTTCTAGCAACATTATCATTTGAATAAAATACCGAGGCTGTGAGCTTTCAATGTACGTAATATTCAAGAAGCTTTCAGCCATCCATAGCTCCTGTTATCCTCTTATTCCCAAGTAGCCCCTCTAGCAAGCAGGCAAGTCAAAAGGCTCCTAAACTTGGGAAGCCCATTTGTCACAACCTCTTATTCTGCTGCACAAAAATGCTGGCACTGCCTTGCACCACATAATCATCATTATGGAAAAACTTAGGAACCACTTCATCAATATGACCATCACATGCCACAGTGACAGTTCACAGTCGTAACTCTTTCATCCAACAATGTTGAAAATATGTCTATATATGCATTCATGGACGTATCTGATTCTTTAACTACCCAGAGCAAGTTTCATGGTAATACGAGGATATTCTTTTAAAATTGCAATGTTCGCACTTTCGACACTGTTTACACAATTTTTTTAACCACATATTGTAGTTTATATGTAAGGGAAACATGTCGGGTCTTGTTAGGCTTCTCTCGATATATACTTTCACAAAATCAACTTTTTATAATTTTACCATTATATAATTATAGATAATTAAGGTTTAAACTGTGCTTGTTTGATCATACAAAGTCAACAGCATACCTCTTCACAGCGCTCCTCTATCACCTTCTTGTCTCCTCCACCACTTAGAACAATAGTGTCGTCCATAGAGATAGTAACCTGTCTCAATCAAAAGTAAGTCCTCAAAAGATGAATTTTACACAAAGATAAATGGAAGCAAATACAAACCTTTTTTGCAGCACCAAGCATTTCAGGTTTAATCTTGTCCAGAGTCAACCCATGCTCTTCTGAAATAACCTGAAGAGAAAAATAATCGATAATATAACTAAACATGTTAAAAGTGCCCCAATACCCAATATCCAAATGCCTCACCTCTCCTCCAGTAAAAACAGCAAGATCATCTAGGTTAGCCTTTCTGCTTTCTCCAAACCCTGGAGATTTAATGGCACAGACCTACAGGAAAGCATATAAACAATGACCAAAATTTTAAAGAACAAAAAAATTAAAATTCTAAGGATATCATATCATTGCAAAAGTTAGCAACTCAAAAGCAATAGGTGACACAAGAATATCATATCTAATATCGAAGACCTGGCAAGTTGCACACTGATAAAGCACTCATAACATTTACATGCAACAAAAAATGGTATTGCAATTCAAGTGTAGTACTGGTAAATTCACCTTAAGCCCAGCTTGATGTTTGTTAAGAATCAGCAAAGTGAGCGTATCACCCTCAATATCTTCCGCAACAATTAGTAGAGGCCTTTTCATCTACCACCAATCCATATCAACAAAACAAAATTATTCAACCACAAAACAAAGATTCACCTAACATTTCAGAACATCTTTAAATGAACAAGAGAAATTTTCAAAAGTTAAACCTCAAGAGCCAACTCCAATACTTTAACGAGGGAACCCACGTCTGAAAGTTTCTTCTCATAGATAAGAACCAAAGGATTCTCAAGTTCCTGGTGAATATGCATTAAAAGAAAAAAAAAAGAAAAAAAAAATAAAATAATAATCTTCTACCAAATAAGATGAACAAGTCTAGTCTATCTACTCACAAAGCACCCAATGAAGAACTGCAAGGACTTAATGCATATAAGGAATATTTGAAGCTGGTATTCATATTAGTTGCAGATGGAAGTATGGAACTTACACATTTCTGGGTCTTCTGATCTGTAATAAAATAAGGAGAAATATAGCCCCGGGCTAGCTTCATGCCTTCCACCACCTCCATTTCATTATCCAACGTGTTTCCATCCTAAAATTATAAGTGCACCAGCAAATGTGATTAACCTTCTTCAATTAAATTGAAATAGCATGGAAGAACATCAAGAAGTCTACTTACAGAAACAGTGATTACACCTTCCTTGCCGACTGTCTCCATTGCCCTAGCAATAAGCTCACCAATTTCACGCTCTCCATTGGCCGAGATAGTAGCCACCTGTTACACAAGAATGATAAATTTTCTATAAAAGGACACCATATGAGTTATATTCATGCTTTTATTCGTATTATTTCACAAAGAAAAGACACGATCTGAAAAAGAAATCGATTGAAAGTTTCAATCTAAGCTGCAAATGTCACAATCTAGTGACAAAATAATAATTGCAAAGTTATTAGGAATCTACATGATTGCACCAAAGACTGTCAAGTTTTTGAAGGTCCAATCTCCTTTCACTTTTTCCTTGTTAATTTCAAAGCCCCTATTTAGTGTAAGTCTCGCAGATCAAACTGGAAGAAGGTTGCTGTAACCTTGGAAATGACAAAGCTGTGTACAAGACAATATAGATACATTACTTAGGATATTCCTCTAAGAAGTTACCTGTGTGATTTCTTCTGGTGTGCTTATCATCACTGCTTTGCTCTTCAAATTGGACACAACAGCATCAACTGCCATAGTGATCCCAGTTCGCAGATCCATAGCATTTACACCAGCAGCTATGGATTTGCACCCTTCCACTAAAATTGCCTGCGTCAACACAGTAGCACAAGTTGTTCCTGGACCACAAAGAATAATGCCTTAATTCAAAGGTACAATACATATTGACTTGAATGAACATGAGAGAAATGTCGATAATGCTTCTCTGCAAATTAAAATCTAGTTCAATGTATTCAAGTCACTAAATCAACAATATCGAAATCACCCCAATGCTGCAAAATAAGCCTTGCCAGGGCAGGATAAGGGGCATATAACCAATTGCTGAGAATACATTATTTCTATGGC